CTCCCCAGAGTGCTCTTTCTCTTTCCACCCCTACACTGGGCAGCAACAGTGCTGGTCAGAGGGTCTTGACTGTGTTTGTCATTACATGGTACCTATTTTTCCAATATACATCAAGTGCATATCCCACTCTGCCTGTTGCTGTGTGCCCCATACAAAACACAACAAAAGCATTGCTCAGTTAAGCTGAAATGAATATTTAGTTTGGGCTGCATCTTTTCGTGCCTGGTTGCCTGGACCTCAGTCCTGCCCAGTGCTGCTCACCATGACCCCACTGCCCTGTTGTCTGCCCCAGCTTAGATGAGAGTGGATCATAGAATAAATCTCAGACTTTAAACATTACTCCTACAAAACTCCCTCACAAGGTTTGTCTCACAGATCACTAGCAAGGGTCGTACAATGTAACTGGGTAGCTTTGATTGTTGTATGACCATATGCAAGAGGTTTGCTTCTCTTCCACCGGGCAAAGCAAGAAGAAACACTACAGTACTAACAGTGTTGTTCACACCGTCATGAGAATTGGTTGTTGGTCGAGGGGACTCCATACCACACGGGCAGCAGCACACGGACGAGCCGGTTGCAGGCACTCACCTCCTGGAGGAGTTTGGCTCCACGTGCAGTGGGATCCTCAGCTGCGCCACTTCCCCAGATGAAAAGGATAGCTTTGCACAGGGGATTTATTGCACATTCCTGGTCGCATGAGGGAGACTGCATCCAGGTAGCTGCCTCTCTTGCTTTCCCTTTAATCACTGCAGGGTGGGAACCGGAGCCAGCCTGGAGGGATAAAAGATCTCTGAGATGAAGAAGTACAATGGAGTGGAGTTAATGTCAATCGGTTTACTGCTGTAAGCAAATCACTACCACATCTCTCTGTGCAGCATGTTACAATTTACAACTCGTAGTTAAATGAGTCAGAGCTGTTGCTTCTGATTCTGCCTCCAGCTTCTCCTGCCACAGAGCTGGACAGACAATGGGTCCGTGTTGCAGAAGGGGCCTCGGGCCAGCCCCAAGGAGCTGTGTGTTGCAATGCCCATTATCGCAACGCCTCATTTTTTAGGCTTCCTGCTGTGGAACAGATTGCTCAGGCCAGAGACAGACACCACTGTGCTTCACATAAGGTGTGGAGAGAGTTAAAAGCTAATGAAAGGAAATTTCAAGAATCCACATGCTTCCTGAGTTAGAATATATATATATATTGTAATATATATATATAGTGGGGCCCAGCGCTGTGATAGGCAGGAAGAAGACTGCCACAGACTCCCTTGTAGTTCAGTGCCTAAGTCACATCAGCCTGCTTTTATGGCGAACTAGAGAGGGACAGAACCACGTCATTGCATCTAGGAGCTCATCGGGTACAGTAAATTATATGCCAAGTAGTGAGAGATGTACTCACCAGCCACCAGTCTACTGGATTTAATTTGGGTGGCCCCACGGTTCTGAGGCATGTCCTGGTCTCGAGGCTACTTATGCAGCTGCTCTTTCTTGCTCTCTCTTGCCACCTCTGTGTCTAATATAAAATCAAGTGTATCATTAGAAGAGATGAAGAGCAATTACCTCTGAAGCCCTAATAAGCTGGTGATTGGTATTTTCACTTTGCATACAGAATACCTGAATTCAGCTGTTTTCTTAAAATCAGACAGTACTGAGGAGTTAGTGCCAAGCATCCCGTTTCCTTGTGAAGGTGTCCAGTCAGTTTGTTCAACAGACCTTTCATTTCCCTGGTTTTTAGGAAGAAGGTCTGACTCAGGAAACTCACACAAGATGATGAGCCTGGACTTAAGCATACTAGCGCTACTGAGAAGCAGGCTCACCCCCTCCCCTTCTCTTGGCCTTTACAATGGGTAAGTTAGTCAGCTTCCCTGTTTTGCCTCTGATTTCTGAAGGTTGTGTTCTCGGCACAATCCTGAGCAGCAGGAAGCTGCTGCTGCTGCTGTGCCTAACTCACTTGCTGAATTTAGACTGCCCTAACTTTGGAAACCATGCTTTTAAGCTCCCAATTCACTTAAGCACTACGGAAAACATTCGATAAAGCATTCAACCGGGCATTGATTCGTGTTTCGAGTGTAAGAGCGAATGCAGAAAGAAACCCCGAAAACACCAGAAATTCAGAGCAGGGGACAAATCCACGATTTAACCAGATTTGCGTAGCGGGTTTTCCCGGTAGCCACCTTCTCTGTAGCTAAAACTGAAAGAGAGCCTTTCCTTGCTTCTTAGCCGCTCAGCCCGCGCTGCGTGCTCCTCTGCCACAGCCGGAGCTGGGCGCGATTCCGCGGCGTTCCCAGTCGGGGCTCCCGAGCCCGCACGGAGCCTGTGCCAAGCAGATGCGCCCGGGGGCTGCCCCCGTATACGGGTAACGGAGCCGTTCCCGTCCTTCGTGGGAGTAAGAGTAGAAGAACGGCTTCTCTTTTATTTTGTGTGCGTTTCTGCGCGTTTTCTCCCTCTCCGTGCTCTGGCTACTGTGTGAGCTTAATTTCCTACGCTCCGTGGGAAGTGTCGCACCAAGGCGCTATCGCTTTCCCACGGCAGAGTCTGCCTCGGCTGTGAGTCCGCTGAGGGACGTGGAGGTGCTCGGGGCCCCTCTGCTTTCTCTCGTCTGTCTGCCGAGGCTCTCTAGGAGTACATGTGGAGATATGCATGGAGGGGAGGGGGTACCGCCGTGACTGGGGAGGGGTGGCGGGGGAGAGGGGAGTTATTAGGAAACTTTGCTTTGGCTACTCTCTATCCTTGGGGCTGCGTGGCGCCAGCACCCTCAAGTTGAAAGGAAAACAGCCATTCTCACTTCCAACTGCCCACTGAGATCCTTAAGGCGACAAAGACACAAAAGTGAGTTTTATTTGCTGGTAAGCCAGAGGCAAGAAAAAAGAAAAGCCAATTCCCCCTTAAAAAGAGCCGACAAATCCTTTTTGCTCTTTTGTGTGAGCTTTTCCTATTCACATGGAGCGTTCATCCGTGTGATTCCCAACTTATTGTCATTACTTAGTTATTAATTGTTCTCATCTGGGTTTAATTGAGCAACCAAGGACTTTAGCCCAAGGGTCAGGGGGAAAACTTAAAGCAAAGACTTGTTCAATAGGAATCCTGCGCTTCGAATATCCATCCCGAGTTGACATAATGTAAAAAAAAAAAAAAAAAAAAAGAGACAAAGCAGAGAGATGAAAGGATCCCGCTTTGCCCGGAGCCCCGCGTCGCAGCGCCCAAAGGTGCCGGCGCCGGGAAGTGGGGCTTGAAGGGAGCCAGCTCAAGGCAGTTCTCGCTGTTTAAAATCTCTCTCTCGGTTTTTTAAGGGCATCTTTACAGGATAAACCTGGCCTCCTGCGCGATTAGATCTTCTCCCCAAACGCTCGGTCTAATCGCGCAGAAGCTAAGTTTATCTCCAGCCTTTTTCTGCCAGAGACACAACGTGGGAAAAAGCCGGCACAGCGCTCTCTCGCTCCGGCGCGGCGTTGGGAGCTGGGGTCAGGATCACAGACACTGTCATTTACACAGAGAAAAGAAATGATCGGAAAAGAAAGCCAAAGGGTTGGGAAAAAAGTTCAGGGGAAAAAAAACAACCACAAAAACCCCAAACTCACCCCAGCCCAGAAAAGACTGGGCGGCCAGAGCGGAGCGAGAGATAAGAAGAGGGGGATTAGACCAGCGAGCTCTGGAGAAAGTGACTGGGTTCAGGTATGTTGTTTCATTGAGTTATTGAAAGCATCATTGATATTTAGGAGATGATAAAAAGTCCCGCCTCGCCCCCAGCTACAGTCTCGCTGGAGCCACAGTGCCTGCACAAGATTGCCGAACCCTCATTACAGCAATTATTTTCCTTCTAACTTTGCTTCAACCTTAACGTTTTAAATTGCTGGAAATGAAAGCAGCAGGGGGAAAAAAAGAAAAAGACAGAAAGAAAAATATAGAGAGTCCCAATTTCTCAGCGACCATTCCTTGAGCACAAAGATAAAGCGCGAAATTAAAAAAAAAAAAAAAAAAAAAAGGGGAAACCAGCGCTCTCCCTTACCCGAGGGATCCGCCAAACCAAACCGGGTAGAGCGACGCACTGAGGGGCTCAGAGCGCAGCCGGCGGGGGACGCGGCGAAGCGGCGGCGCCGGTACCGGCGGGGTCAGCGGGCGCGGAGCGGCGCGGCCGGGAATGCGAGGCCCGCCGACCTCCTCCGCGGGGTCCTCGGCCGTCGCCAGTGGTTTCCACGGGGCCGTGGCGACTGGGACGGGGTTCCAGCGGAGCCGGCCGCCGTGGCCTGCGGGGCGCTCGGAGCTACGAGGATGGGCAGGAGAGACGGCGCCGAGCGGTCCCGACCGTCAGTCCCGGGGGTCCCACCGGCTGCCTGACCTGCACTCGTGCCTAAACACCACCTTCCCCCAACATCCCACCCCCACAACCCGCACCCTACCCACTCCCATCGGCTCCGGCGCTGCTGCTACCCCCCGCTTATTAACATGCTTTATCCCCTTCTCCAGCACCACCCCAACAGCGACAGACCTATCTCCCCACTGCCCCAAATCCTGGTTCTCCCTTTCCCCTAGCAATACCGGCTGCCAAAAGGAGCTCTGAGGGAAGCCCTTGGTACCGAGGTGTGGGACATTTCACACCATCCCCAAGGTCTCCGAAGCTGCCGAGGGCTGCAGCAGGGAACTTTCTGGACAGAGGCAGGTGGAAGGGAGAGGAACATTTTTTCTTCTTCCTAAGGCTAAGGAAGCCAAGCCAGGGCTGTGCTGGGGAAGTAGTAGCAGCCACCTGCACCCTCAGGGCAAGGATACGGTGGGAGCTGATGCTGGAGAGGTGCAGTGGGGGGAAAAGGAAGAAATCTCAGACAGCTGTGAGGACAGGGCAGCTCCAGGACACATCGGTTGAGCTTTCAACTTGCTGTGTCTCACCATCACTCCAGCTGAAGTCTCCTGGAGAAGAGGGAAGAGTCCCTCTCTCTTGTCCCCCAACACACAAATTTGATCTCTTCTATCGCCCGCGGCAGGGCAAGGAGCGAGCACACAAACTGCATCAAACAGTAGCTTAAAATTAATTTATTTAACAAATATAGCTATAATATAAACGATAATAAAATTTCAAATATACAGTATATTACATAGTACACAGAGCCCCTTCCAAAGGAGCTGGCGGAGGAACAAAGACAGGTAACAGACAGCGCTGTTACACAGGGACAGGAGAGGCTGCTCTACCCTTCTGCCTCTTGACCTCGCCTTGCAGAAAGTAAGAGAAACATCCTGTCTTTCAGTCCCCTTTTTCCGTTTCTCTTCCACAGTTCCTTACCCCATGCAGGGGACTCTCTCCAGGCTGCCAGCTGGACCCCGGGACGCAGGGCAGGGTTGGCCCATCAACACCCTGTGGTCAGGAAGGAGCTGGGGCAATGCTTCAGGCTTCTGCCAGCTCCCCAGGACTGCTGAGGAGTGCAGAACAGTGTTGGGCCAGGGGCCCAGTGTCAGAGAGGAAAGCAGAGAGGTCAAGCAGAGCTGGACTGGAGGAGTCTCTGCCACGGGGTCCATGGGGAAGTCCACAGAGAAGAGCAGGGAGGGAGTGCATGTGTAGTCAGCGGGAGCAGACAGCCGGCGGGCTGGACTCAGCAAGGCTCAGGCTCTATGTGAGGTGATACATGCTGTATCCCACGTGTGCTGTGTACAGTCCCACAGGAGCCACAGGCAGCCCTGCCCGCTGGAAAGGGCTGGAGGTGCCGTACAGAGAGGCACCGGCAACAGCCGGGCCGCCCAGCGGGAAGGAGATGCCAAAAGCAGCGGGCGGGAGCATGGGCTTGGCTGCCATCTTCAGCTTTTCCAGTTCGGCCTCCTGGAGCCTCTTGGCCTTGGCGCGGCGGTTCTGGAACCAGATCTTCACCTGGGTCTCGGTGAGGCTGAGCGAGCTGGAGAACTCGGCACGCTCGGCGATGGACAGGTACTGCTTCTGCCGAAACTTCCTCTCCAGGGCCAGCAGCTGTGCCGTGGTGAAGGGCGTCCGGGGCTTCCTGTTTGTCTTGTGCTTGCGCAGGGTGCAGGCTGGAGGACTGAGCCGCCCTGTGCCGGGAGCAGCCGGGGGAGAGGAGAAGGAGAAAGACACCTCGGTTAGCAGCGCCGGAACCCCAATGGCCCACAGAACCCCCACCCTACTGCAGCTGGGGTGAAGACAGGAAGGCAATAAGGTGCCACTCGAACGAAAGCGCCCCAAATCCTCCAGGGCTGCCTGGGGCACACTTCAAATTGCCATCTCCCTTTCCAGTAAAGAGAGCGGGTGTCCGTAACAGGAAAGCGTCCAACAAATCCATGGAAAAATACTCGGCAAAGGACAGGAGTCAGGCACCCACACACCCTCCACCTCCTGCCTTCACGGATCCCGGCTCATGAACAGGAGTCATAAACTAAAGGAATGACCTTCAAAAAAAAAAAGTCCCGTCCTTTTTATCGGATTAAAGAGAAAAAAAAATAAACAAAACGGGCTGGCTTCTCAGTCTCACACCCTCTTCATTAGGCCCCTGGGAACCGGATTAAGCATGTAATTAATTACGAGGTTTGCATTGACACTCAGGCTCTATCTACCGCTCTTCACCGGTCCGCTCCTCTTTTCTCTTATTTAACATTTCTAAGGATCCTCAACATCCATCTGTCTCCGGTTTACTTAGCAATAACAACTTTTACTTTGCAATTTAAATAAATTAAACCGCTGCTATACTCTACACAACTCCTGTCAGGAAACCTGCCCTTCTCCAAGGAACAGAGAAAATAGCTCTGTTTGTAGCTTTGCTAAGGGCCACCCCAAACGCTCAGGAGAGCCTCAGCTCAAGCTCGCTCCTTTCCACGGGATCCGGAGTGGGGACGGAGCGCGACCAGGCCGAGGGCAGGCAGCCCGAGGTCTCCGGACCCGGGCTCAGCGCAGCCGCTTGAGATAATTAACAGGCTTTTCTCGTCCCACCTCTCCCGCTGCTACTTCTAATTATTTAGATAACTCTGTATTAAAGCAGGAAAACATTAGCAATTGCGGCTCTTCAGACTTCGGAGATGCACCACTCGAGACAGCAGCCGGTGAGGCTGAAGACCGCAAGGCTCCCGCCCCCAGGAGATCGGTCTGTGCGGGTCCTTACAGAATTATTTGAGCCATTTTCTGAGAAAACACCGCTGAGACTGGGTCAAGAATTGCGTGGTCAGTTCGAGATCCAGGTCAAACTAACAGGCCGGACGGGTTATCTTACTTTTCTGTTAACATTTGTCACAAGACCTCGCCCTGGCGCGGCCGCTCTTCCTATGCCTTCCCAGCCATCATCCGGCTTCGCACACACTCGAACCCGTTCAGTAATTTGAACGGGCCGAAGTGGCCTAGCAGACAGTGCGAACGTCAGGGGGAAGTGTACCAGGAGGGGCCAGGCAGGGTAAAACCAACAGAAAACCCCGGCCGCCCGCGCAGCTTTGCCCTCGGACTGCCCGGCCCTGCGGGAGGGTCGCAGCCGCCCCAGACGGCTCCCAGCCCGCCCGCTCCCGAACCCTACTTACTCGGGGGAGGCGGCGAGAACCGTGGGTTTTGCATCCAAGGGCTCCGCTCTTGCTTCTCGGGGCTTTCCGCCTTGACGATCGCGTCTTCGGGCAGTTTGACCAGCCCCCCGACGGAGAAGTGCCCGCCCAGGGGCAGGGGAGAGCCCGGCGCCTCCGCCGTCAGGGCGCCCAGCCGAGGGCTCAGGCTGGAGCGGGCGGCCGCCCCAGCGCCCGGCGGGGGCCCGGCGCCCTCGGGGCCATCCCTGCCTCCCGGCTTCCTGTGGTCGGCCATGAGCGCCTCCACGCTGAACGGCAGCAGGGATGGGGAGACCTTGGGCTTGTCGCTCTCCTCCTCCCCGCCCATCGCCGCCGCGACGGGGAGGGCGCCGCCGCCGCCGGGACTGCTGAAGGCGGACGCGGGCAATTCGTCACTGCGGACCCCGGTGGGCGCGGCGGTCATATCCACAGCCGGGGCCATGCAGAGGCGGCCCGTGGTCGCCACCGCAGCGCCGGGCAGGAGCGATGGGGGCCGCTGCGCATGGGGCCGGGAGCGCGGAGGGCGCGTGCAGCCGTCGGACGCGCTCCAGCCCCGCGGCGGCGCCGCCTGATAAAGCGGCGCGGGGGCGGCACCGCCCAACCAGCGCGCGGGGGGCGGGGCGGTGCCGCCCCATTGGCGGCGGGGCGGGGGGGCGGGGCCAGGATCGCCGGCGGCGCGTCCCGCCTGCCCCGCGTCCCCCCCCGGCCCCACGTCCCCCCGGCCCGCTCTCGCCATCCCGGCTCTGCTCCCCAAAAACCCGTTCCGCACCCCTCAGTTCCGCCCCGATCCGCTCGCCCCAGCCCCGTTCTGCACCCCCCCGCGGCCTGCCCCGCTGCCTTCAGCCCCGCTCCGCGCCCCAGTTCTCATCTCAGGCGGGAGCAAAGAAGGCCGGGGCTGCCTTCCCCGGGAAGTCCCCTTCCCCGCCGCGGGGACGGGAAGACTCAAAACTCGGGGAAAAAACGTATTAACGTCGGAAAAAAATAAGCCGGCCTTTCTACTAGCAAGCGAGAGGGAGCGGGCCCAAGCCCACTCTTCCAAACCAGCAAATACCGGGCTGTCCCGAGTGTGACCTCTCAAAGGGAAGGAGCCGCTTCCCATCCCACAACCTGGCTGCGCCTCGAAACAGTGGTTTTAGGGGGTTTGGTTGGTTTGTTGGTTTTGTTTTTAAATGAACGCCGGCCCTGCAGTGTGTTCGATGTGACTGCGGAGATCTGCGTTTATATACGTACCCGCATACACAACACATAAATTGTGCCACTTTTCATGGCATAGATGTGTGCGTGTCTGCAGATAACAAAATGTTCATTCACGTAAAAAGAAACATATAAGCCCCTGAGCCCTTAAAGTCCCAGCTATTTTGTTTTGTAAATTCGTTTTACGATCTCTTATCCCCGCGCTCAGGACGGATGTGCAGTAAAACGGAGCCGCTCTCTAATAACGGGATTGGCCGCTCGCTGAGAAAAGTTTATTGATAGCTGCAGGGCTCTAATCTCCTCGGAACACAAGAGCCTCTTGCAGTCATTTAAGGGCAATTATCTAAACGGGGAGGGACAGAGAATTCCCTTTCCTTTTAACTGAACCCAATAAAGATGGTAGATTAGGAGCATATAGATTATGAAATGAATTGATATAATAGACATTTTGTTAACTGATAAGCAACAGGACCTGATTGAAATGAATTGTCCTGCGAGCAGCTACGCACACTTATCTTACACACGCGTGATCATGTGCCCTTGCGGTGTGCTCACAGTGTCCTGCACGTACATCATACCTACCTCCCGCATGTGCTGTGCTCATGCATGGATCATACTCTAGTGAAGATGATTTGTAGGCGACTTGCAGGCTACCCCCCCGCATTCCTACACATGAGAGCGAACGCACTTCGTGAAGACCTATTCGCCGACACATGGCTCACACTGGCACATCCAACCACCCTCCCGATCCGTGCCGCCCTGCTGAGCGCTCCTGCGAGGCGGGGAGCAGCGGTGCCGCCGCCCAGCCCAGCCCAGGCCGGCCCCGCGCCCTGCCGGTGCCGGTGCCGGTACCGCTGCCCGCAGCCTCCCCCGCTCCCCGTCGGGCCAGGGGGCCGGGTCGGGCCGCTTCGGGGCGGGGGGGTGGGGGGTGCTCGGAGAAGCGGCTGCATTGCTAATTGCGAGAATAAACAATCTGTCACGATTAGTCAGTGCCTCTAATAGGCAGACAAGTGATGTTGTTTTTAGGCGCCAGCAGCGGTCTGATCAAAGGCTTCAGCTGGAGGGGGACTATTGAGGACGTTAACCCGCATCAAGGGAGCAAGGCGCCTTAGCCCTGGGACATCAGCACATTCAGCCTGACAAAATTAGTTTGCTCTACCAATCACACGACATTTTCCCAAAGCCGGGTGCTCGACACGAAGATGCACCCCCACCCCACCCCCGACTAAGAAAACATGCACATATATCCATGCATCGTGTTTCACGGTGTCACGATGTTCCCTCCACCCGATCCTACAGGTAGGATCTTGTTTGGGGTTTTTATTATTTTTTTCCCCTGATTCCAAACTTAACCGTGCAAAAGACTAAGTGATGTGTTTATTAGACCTCGAGGCAGCCCATGGGCTGATTTCGATCTTGTTGTTCTATAGAAATACGAATATTAAAAATAGAGCTGCTGACTTGTTTGGGGTCTTTTTTTCCCTCGCTTTTCTTTTGTAGAATGGTTGTAACCTTGGGATGTTGCTGAGGTTTGAAGAGATGCGTGTGCGTCTCATACCGAGAGCGCGATCCCGCTCTCATTGAGAGTTGACAGAATGAGATAATTAGCTCTCTATTTATCTCCCAGCAATGAGCGCTTTGTGTTTACATTTCTGTCATACTCGGTGGTATTTCAATCACTGTATCATAGCAAGGACTTGATTCTAATTCACGTGCTGGCAAGCTCTTGGGCTGAAAACGGGAAGACAGTAAAGTTCCTTTCGGTTCTTACTCCTTTCTTTCTTTCACAACTTTCTTAATGAAATCTATAAGTTCTAAGTTAGGAATGGAGAAAACAAATTTGCATAACGAAATTTCTCCCAAGGCTGATTTCTGTGTTTAGCGGAAAATTTTTAGTATCCAAACTCTTCCTACCTTGCTTGCTGCGCTCTGGGTGACCAAAACACCGCTAAGTTTTAGGAACTTTTTTAGTACCTGTTCCATGGTGTTGATACTCTGGCTTGCTTTTAGATGCCTCTCTCTTATTTTCCTCCCTGGGCTGTAAGAAAAATCGAAGTGAAAGGGCACGGGGGAATAGGTGACTTTATGGGTGCTTGTTCCAGCCCAGCGTTTTTATTGGGAGCAGTGGCGCTTCCCTGAAGGCACTTGTGCTAGATAACAACATTGGGCAATTAGCATCCTAAACAGTCCCGTTTCAATATAATGAATGTGCTAGGCAAAGCCATTACCCATAGCATTTTATTTCGGAGGGAATACAACAACAAGGGTTGAGGGAGCGCATGGGGGATGGGGAGAAAGGACAGGAGGCAGCACTAAACCAATTCAGGGCATTGTCTGCCTTTTGTAAACGTTATCTTTGACTTAAAGACAGAACTCAGAATGGAGAGGGGTGTTGTTGTTTCCCTTGTTTCTATTTTATTTCTCCCGAGACAGCAGCTCTTAGGAGACCAGACAGTTTCGCAGGACACGAGCTGGCTTTGGGGACGGGCGGCTCCGGGGCAGCTCTACCGCTTCGGGCACTGCCTGCGCGCTCCCTGCGCGCTCCCCGCGTGTTGTCTGAGCAGCATTCAGCAGCCTTGCTTCATCTGTGAGAGCCTCAGCCCTGGGGGCAAAAAGCCAGATCTATCGCAAGTGCTAAAAATGTCCCGCGGGCTTTACAAGCCCTCAAAGCCCTTCAAGTGCTCAAAGCCCTCCCTGCTCCCGCCGCTGTTCCTTCTCCGCTGAGTGTCGGGAAAATGCGGAAAGATCCCAGTTCTTTTTTTCTTGTCTTTTTTCTTTTTTCTTTTTTATTTTTCTTTTTTTTTTTTTTTAATTTTTCTCTTTTCCCCTTTTCCTTCTGCCCTGATTAAACATAACCCAAACGACTTTTAAGGCTTCAGGCACCTGGACTGGTCCTCGGGAGGTCACTAGGAACGGTTTGGACGGCCAAACTCCAGCCGCCGAGGCGTCCCCGTCTCTTTGAGGGTCGGAGGAGCCGAGCTGAAAGGAAGGCACTATTTCAAGTGGCCTAAATTAATTTGATCGCGACATTATGATGCACTTGGAAAAGATGAAAGAAAAGGCTGGCCGTCTCCTCCAAGATCTCTATAATTATAGATAATATATCCTATTTCAAAGCAATTAGCTCAATCAGGCGTAACGAGGCACTTTGCTGCCAGGGAGTAACAATGCCTTACGGTTATTTAAGCTTCAAGATGTCAAGCAGACTTCGAGACTCTCTCTGCCCAAAAGGGAACTTGGCTGCCTTGGTGAAAGCCCCATGGCTAAGGCGGTGGTTTCCCTTTAGTGACAACACGCCTATCTAATTTAATATATTTTTTAAAGCTCTTGCAAAGGTGCCGGCTCTGCTGGAGAAGAGCACCGCTCCTCCAGGCGCATTTGGAGCCGGTTCCTGTGTGGCATCACCTCTACCCCTGCCCGTCAGCACCGACTTGCCTCGCCTCGCCTGCTCGCTCCGGGATGCTTGTGCTTTCCGAGCCTTTTTCCCGCTCGGTGCCTTTCTTTCGATCTCTTCTTGGGGTGATTCCGGCTGCCTTTCATAGGGTTCTGCAGAAGCAGCTATTGATGGGGCGCACTGGCTGATGCGGGTTGGCAGCCACGGTGCAGACCTCCCTGCTGAGCCAGCGCCTCCTCCCAGCCCCCAGAGCTTTACCCTGCCGTCGTCTCGGCCTTTACCTGAAGTGCTTCTCAGGGTCCCGAGAGCACCGAGAGCATCCGCCCGCTGGTTGCGTTGCCAGCGAGCCCGCGGTCCTGTGCATGTGTCCTGCCGGTGTGTGGAGGGGCTCTGCACTCACAGAGCAGGGCCCCAGGTGCCGGAACCCCCTCACCCCGACCCAAACCCGCACAAGACGAGTGCGCTGAACGAGCTGTGCCTCCCGTGCCCAGGGACGGGGGATATGGGGGCGAGTTTGAGCCAAAATGCCGAAAAGCGACTTTTCCCCCTTTCCCGGTGCCTCTGCAGTCTGCCGTCCAGGGCTGCTCCCAGGCTCCCCGCCATGCCCCGGTCGAGGGGGCTGCCCCGGGCCGGGCGCTCCGCGGAGTTGCCGCCTGCAGGGACCGCGCTGGCCAGGGGTCTCCATCCTCTGTGCTGGGGCAGAGCCACCTCCGGAGCGGCACAGTCCGGCCCAACACGGCCCGGCTCGGCCTGGCCCGGCCCCGAGAGCCCACGAAAGCAGAGCCGTGCTTGTATGAAACGCCGCCGAAGGGAAAATAATAACCATACAATTAACCGTGTCAGCGTTTCTTCCAGAGATTTTTATTGCTGAGGG